CTAAGACTTCGTTGTGGTATTGCGTCCGAGTCCGAGCAGCTCGTAGTAGTAGATTCTAGAAGGAATTCTTACCAGTAGAACTTCGTAGGCGTTGGTGCACTTCCCGGGCGATAACACGATTTCCGGAGCAGGACTGTAACATGGTACCTTGTGTTCCGTGGGTCCGAACGGACATTCATTACGTGCCTCCTCCTGGGAGGTTCTTTTACCCATGTGGGCCTTTCTCATTTAGTATATAATGCCGTATAGCGTCGGATAGCGGCGTGGTTTGGGGCTGTGCTTCGCGCAAGATGCGCGTTTGGTCGTCGCGTCACGTCGCTATGCGGGTGGCTTGGCGTTACCCTTGTTGCACCCTTCCGCCGCGATATACCCTCCGCCCACTCTCGATGTCCTCTCTCGATGTCCTCTTCCTCTCTCGATGTCCTCTTCTTGCCTCCCAGCGTGGAACCGCGCCCCAGGTCAGTAGGAAAGCTCTCCCTTTGGACCTCCCTTTCGGGCCCCTCGTTGGCTCCCTGGACCCCTCGTGGTCGGGACCCCTGCCCCGCAAGGCGCCTCTCTTGGGGCTCCTTTGGGCCACCCCTTCGGGTTCCAGCTTGGAGCCCAACCTCCGGTGAGTCGGGGAGCCCTCCCTTTGGACCTCCCTTTCGGGCTCCTCGGTGGTTCCCTGGACTCCTTGCGCTCGGGACCCCTGCCCCGCAAGGCGCCTCCCTTGGGGTTCTTTGGGGCCACCCTTTCGGGTTCCAGCTTGGAGCCCAACCTCAAGCGATCAGCCAGATGCCGATCGTTTTTTTGATCTTCGCGCAACACCCTCGCTGAAACTTGTCGTTGATCTCAGCGCGGGCGTTCAAAGTTGAACGCTGCCAGCGGCCGGGAACCGGCCGCCATCGCACATCGGGTACTTCCGAAGTGCTTGATCGTTCAAGGTTGAACGGTCCACGCGGTGTCGGAAACCAACGCCCACCTCGACATCATACGAGACCGCTGTATCCAGTAGTTCTCTGTTCGTCACCCATGCTGCAAGATTTCGTCATCCATGAGTCCGTAGCCTGTTTTGGCTCGAACTGCATTGGGGCACGCGCGCGGTTCCTGACACCATGGAGTCTCTATGCAAAGATGTGATTTCTGTTTTGCGCAGCTTGGATGTCTTAGCGCACAGGTTGACAAGTGAAGGCGAAAACTTGAGGTCCCATCACATCGACGGGGGTGCCATCCTGCATCACATTGCCGAGCTGTCGCAGGTCATCGATCAACAGTTCGACGTACCGAGTTTGGAACCACACTCTCGTTCACCTGCCTCCTCGCAGTCCGCGTCGGACTTGCAAACCGAGTTCACGCGTTTACGGAGCACGCTGAAGTACCAGAGAAAGGAGCGCACGAAGCTTCAGCAGAAGCTCGATGCAGAAAAATCAATAAAGGTCGGGGGGCGCATGCGTGCGATATGGCTAGTGCGAGCTGGCTTGAGCCCGCCGGGCGTGCCTCAACGCACAATGGCCGACTTTCTCTCGCAGTTCCCTGAAGAGCTTGGCACGGGGGCGGGCTCTGGGGTGAGCCATTGTTACGTTGCACGTGCCCGTGATGCTTTCGCAGAATTGTTGAAAGAGTTGAACGGCAAGGAGCTCGAACGTTTGGCAGCAACGAATCTCGGCACAACGCCGTATTTCATTCAGCATATTCATGATGAAGCAAGCATGCGGCTGAGGAGCACACCGGTTGTCCAAGACGCGAGCTTCGCTTTGCCACAGTCGGTTGCCGTGGGCAGCGCTTTGTTCACGCGGTCCAGGTATTCGAAAATACAAAACAACTGCATCACAATAGGCATGGGCGAACACCGATTGGAATGGCTGTCTGAGATGCAGGCGTTGGGCCGCAAAGACGGGGACACTCTAGGTTTGGCTTTGATTGCTGCTGTTGAAGGCATTATGAATACCTTGGCTGCTGCGCCCCAGGGCTCTGTCAGAGTTGTGCATCTCCTCATCGGAGACGGGGTCAATACCAACGAGGCCGCGGCCAAACGCCTTTTCGAACATTACGCCCGCCGCTCAGGCGGCGTTGTTCAATATCGGTTGATCTCGTGGCGTTGCGCCAGCCACCAGGCCAATCTGGTGGTCGAGGTGGCTATTTGCGGGAAGCTATTGTCTCGACCACTCGAGGAAAGCGCCCTGGCGGCGAATTGTTCGCGATTTTTTAAATACCTTCTTGCGGAGCACTGTGATCAATTCGCGACTGCCTTGCGGCGCCACATCGCATCATTTCTGGATTTCGATCGGTATGATTCGACTGCCGCGGCACCGCCGCCGCCGAGCGAGGCCGTCTTGAACATGCAACGGCTTTATGGAGAGGATGTGTTCCCGCAGGCCCTGCTCGACATATTTCCGTCTGATTTGTCCGGGTGGGTGTGCCCGTGCCCAGACAACGAGGAGTTGTCCTCGGTTCGTGCCCGCGTGTATCAAACTCTTTACAGACACGTGCTGCAAGTGGAAGAACGTCCAGTAATAACGCGGTTTTGGTTATTCACCAATTGCGTGTTCTGCTTCCTGAGAATGACGGCGCTGCGCTTGCCCGCAGAGTTGTTCGACTTATCGTGCACTTCTGAGAGCAGTCAACGGTTGCAGGCGTTCCAAAAGTGGTTCAGCGATCCGTCCGCGGACACGTACCTGCGGAAAGTGGCGCTGTGCCTGCGGCTCACGCAGTTCGCCGTGAATCTTTCGTCTCGGAAGACAAAAGCTTCCGACGCAGTTCCCGTGCTTGTCAGGATGGCCTTCGGGGAGGTGCAGCGGCGCACGTCTCTTCTCTTACAGGATATTGTTCGGTTGCTACACGCGGATCCTTTGCTCGACGTATCTGCGACATTCATGGGGCTCTTGAAGACGCAGTCGCACATCATCATGCGTTACGAACAGTACCAGCAATTTCCAAACAAATTGTGCCTCATGTGTAAGTTCTACAATTCGGCGGGCTACGAGAACGCTGTCAAAGACTTCCTCGACGTCGGCGAGTCCCTGCTGGATTACGGGTATTCGGTGCCGCTGCGACGGGAAGCGCTGGCGTTCGGGAGTAGAGAGCGTGCCATTGAGTACCTCACCTCCGACCGCGTGCAGCGCGAGCTCCAGGATATTTTCAAGAATGCTTCGGCTCATGATCTGGACGCAGAGCGGAAACATAATGTGGGTAAGAAGGGTGAGGCGCGCAAGTTGACGTCTGTTGGCACAGCCTCGCGGAACGTGCTGCTTCGCCACTACGGACGTCGGCGGACGGAGGCTTTGCGACAGATGCAGAAGGGCGCTGCGCGGGCCAAGCGGAAAAGGCACAGCAATGTTTGGGCTCTTGCAGTTGAGGACAACGCAGGCTGGCTCCGCAGGCCCCGGGGCCAACTGGCGCACGAGTCCGGCGTCACCGCGGCGCAGAGGCGCGAGATCGTCCACGAGGGGGACCACGGTGCGTTGCATGAGTATATTACCGCGAACCGCGCGGAGCTCGAAAGGAGGCGGGATGCCGACCACGCCGAGGCCGCCCTGGTCCTGCAGCCATCTATGCCGTATTCCACGGCTGACTGGATTAAGTTCGTGGAAGAAAAGAGGGCCTACGTCGATTCTCTGATCCAGACAGCTACCTCCAGGCGGCGCTCGATCTCTCGCCGCTTGTTGGCCACCGAGGCGCTACCTGGGTGTCCGCGGATCTACCCGAAGCCGCCCTCTGGTGATCTGCCGATGTGGCTGCGCAAGATCATGCACGCAGATGCAGGCGTGTTTGCCGTGAAGTACGGGCCGCGGCTCGACGATAAACTTGTGTTGTATGCAGCCGCGCTGCGGCATCAGCCCTGGGGGTGCATCTTGGAGGAGAGAGATGGGGCCAAAGCAACGTACCGGTTGAATATGGGCGTGATGTTCTACGGGGCTTTGCGGCCCCTGAGAGAGCAAGTATCCGAAATGGCCTTGCCTGATGAATCGGAAGTGTTCCGCATGGATGCCGTTCGCGCCTCGATTGCCTGGCCCTTCGCCGTGCTCGCGCTCGGCGACCCGGTCGAACTCCCTGCGCCCGCGCCGCAGGTGCGCGCGCGGCGACCGAAAGGCGACTCGAAGGTCGAGAGCGCCGACGAGGACGACGGGGACGCGGACGAGCTGGCGCGCGATGCGGAGGCCGAGGGATGCGCAGCGCCCTCTGAGTGGGCATCTGTTGTCTCGGACTTGGAGTCTGACGTGGAGGCGGTCGCCGAGGAGGGGGGTGCCGCCGCTGGGCCCGAGGCTGACCCCGTGCTGCCTGAGGCGCCGCACGTGTCTGACGATGAGGACGAGGAGGCTGCTGCGAGGATGCCTCCTGGTACCTACACGGTTCGCGAGTACTCAAACGGGTACTTCACGACTACGAACCACCCGAGATGGCCCGACGTCGTCATCAACATTCTTCCTCGGTGGCGGAAAGAACACGAACTCGGAGACGTGAACTACAGCTTCCGGTGCCGGCCGCATCACTTCGGCGAGTCCGCTGATGCCCCGAAGCGGGCCTACATGGTTCTACAGTCTTGGATGTTGTGGCGGGCCAAGACGGATGGTTGGCACCGGCGCAAGGCTCGTAGGTTGGCGTGGTGGCACGCGGAGGAGGGCCGGCTCAGGCGAGAGATCGCGGATCTCCAGGTGGCTGGAGGCGGAACCGGTGATGCAAAAGCTGATGCAAAGATTAGGCTATATGCTCCATCTGTCTTGTAATTTGCGAGACGCCTGCGCGAGCCGAAAAAGAGGGGCGGCCCTTTTCGGAGTCGGAGGTCCGCCACGGCACGCGTCCGCGGATGGAGAAAAATCAACGCCATGGTCAGGGATGGGGGAGGAGGGGTAGGACGTCGGATATGACGCGAGCGCACCTAGCTTGTCCTCCCCCCTCTCCTCCCCCCTCCGCCCCCTCCCCCTCCTCGTCGTCGTCGCCGTCGCCCTCTTCCTCCTCCCTCTCCCCGTCCCTCCCTCCATACTTCCTCCTCCCCCCCCCCTCCTCGCTCTACTGCTGCCCGTAGGCATCGTGGCTCGAAGTGACCCCGTCGAAGGGATCGCTGCTCCTGCCGGGGATGCCGGAGAGATGCCGCAGGCGGTTCCGCGGCACCCAGTACGAGGTCCGGGTGCCCGGCGGCCGTTTCCACACGTGGGCGAATAACCATCTGCATCGGGCTCGGACAGTGGCCGGCGTCAGAAGCGCAATCAACGACATCAGAAAGCGCCTTCGGGAGCGTAGATCCCGAGCTTCCGCCGCGCGCGCCTTGAAGGCGGCCGCGGCGAGGCACTGGCACGTGCCCCGGCGCAGTTCCGGCGGCCCCTTGCGGCCAAAGGCCGGTGCCCGCGTGATCGTGTCCGTCGCCCGGAGGAACTCTGGGCGCGGCCAGAGCGTCCACGACAAGAAGCTCTCCTTGGCCCTTTGCCGCGGGCCGATGCGGAAGGCGTGCCGCGCCGACGACGTGCTCCTGGTGGTCACGGCTGCGCCCTCCGATCGGATCAGGCCGCAGGCATACAGGGACGCCGTCGAAGGTCTCAATGGCGAGAGGGCCCTGGTCGTGGCCTGCCGGGCGGACAAGATGCACCCGGCGGCGACGTACTACGCCAAGGTCGGCTTGGGCAGGCCAGACTGCTGGTACCGGAAGGCCAGAAAGGGCGACAAGCACACGCACGTGGATGCAAAGGGGAACGCTTTCGCGGTCCGGTCGCGGTTTCGCGCCGCGGGGGCAAAGGACGACCACAGCTTTGGCTCCAACGACCTCCACAAGGTCGTGGTGTCCACTCACTACCTCAGGTCGGCCACCACGCTGGAGGCGGCGCCTCGCGTGCCGCCTTCTCTGTCTGGTCTCTTCGACAAGTGGACGGGGCACGGGTGCAAAGTTCTCCCGTCAGGCCCGGCCGGGGCAGTGAAGCGCTGGCTGGGCGGTCTGTGACGAGTGCGCGCTGTAGGTATACAGGGGCGCAGACACTCCTGGATAGGCGCTGTTCGGCGCTATTCGGCTCTATTATTATCCTATTGTCCGCCGTTTCGCGGTTTTGTGGAAAAAGAGACGACGGTATAGCGCCGGAATAGCGCCGTCTAGCGCCGGAATAGCGCCGGTATAGCGCCGGAATAGCGCCAGAATGACGTCGTCGCCGTGTCACTCGGCACTGGATTGCGAGGCCTGCGGCGCTCTGCCGCTCTGGCGATTCATGATGCTGTGCCGCGTGCCGTGCCGTGCGGTGCTGTGCCGCGTGCCGTGTGCCGCGTCGGCCGGTGCCCGATTCCGTGCCCTGCGGTGCTCTGCCGCGCGGGTGTCGCGTCGTGCTGTGCCGTGCTTGGCGGTGCTCTGCCGCGCGTTGCGCCGCTCGGTGCTGTGCCGCGTGCCGCGCCTTCTGCGTCGTGCACCGCGGTGCCGTGTCTGCGTGTCTTCCCGATTTCGGTTCCCGCGGGCCGCGTTCTGTTCCCGTCGCCCTTTGCCGGGCTTCCGAACCTTCCCGCCGGACCCCGGGGTCAAACCGAACGCAGGGCATCTTGCAATGCATCCGCCGTCGGGGGGGCGGATGGAGGGGGGCCGGCGGTGGTGGCGACGAGGGCTTCCGACCCTTCGTGCCAGATACCGGGGCGCAAGACCGACCGCGGGAAATCTTGCAGCGCTTCCGCCCTCGGGGGGGGGAGGGGGGATGGCGTGGAGATGGATGGGGGGGCGGCGGCGGCGGCGGCGGCGACGACGACGACGATCGTCTACAGATTTGTTGGCGTCAGGTTTTGCATAAATCGATTTTTGTAGTTTTCGGTCCGGGGGCCGTGGTCTGTTCCTGCGGGCCTCGTTCGTGCCTGGGGCCCGTGCCGGACCCCATGGCGCAGAAGTGACCGCAGGAGATCTTGCAATGCATCCGCCCTCGGGCCGCGGAGAGGGCTGCCGGAGGAGGGCGAGGAGGAAAACGAGGGGGGGGTGGTGGACGAGGCGGAAGAAGAGGACGACGAGGGGGAGGAGGGGGAGAACGAAGAGGAGGAGGAGGAGGAGGAGGAGGAGGAGGAGGAGGAGGGGGAGGTGGATGAGGGAGGGGACGGGTGCAAGGATGAAGGGCGGCAGGGTGCTGAAGAGGAGGCGGATGGCAACGGGAAGGAGAGGAGGAGTACGGGAAGGAGAGGAGGAGTACGGGAAGGAGTACGAGAGGGAATGTGTTGTTCTGTCCTAACAGCTACGCTGCGCACCTGTCTAGGGTCTGTGTGCAGGATTGCCCCGCAGGGCGCGTCCCTCGGGGCTCTTTTGGACCATTGCGTCGGGTTCCTGCTTGGAGCCCAACCTCCGGTGACTAGGTGGGCCCTCCCATTGGACCTCCCTTTCGGGCTCCTCCGTGTTCCCTTGGACCCTTTGTGCTCGGGACCCCTGCCCCGCAAGGCGCCTCCCTTGGGTGTCCTTTGGGCCACCCCTTCGGGTTCCAGCTTGGAGCCTACTCTCCGGTGAGTAGGAGGGCCCTCCCTTTGGACCTCCCTTTTGGGTTCCTTGTTGGCTCCCTCGACCCCCGTGCTCGGGACCCCTGCCCCGCAAGGCGCCTCCCTTGGGGCTCTTTTGGGCCGCGCCTTCGGGTTCCAGCTTGGAGCCCAACCTGAAGCGATGAGCCAGATGCCGATCGGGCTGGAGGGGATCTTCGCGGAACACCCTCGCTGAAAATCGGCGTTGACCTCAGCGCGGGCGTTCAAGGTTGAACGCAGCCAGCGGCCTTGGAGCAGCCGCCATCGAACGTCGCGTGCTTCCGAAGTGCGCGGTCGATCGAGGTTGAAGGGCCCACGTGGTGTCGGAAACCAGCCCCCACCACAACATGTTACGACACAGCTGTGTCCTGTAATTATCCGTCTTTTCCCGCTTTGAACATGTCCGCCAACACATTTTGGCTCAAAGTATTCTGGCCCCGCTTGGTGCAGATCGCTCACCTGCCTTGGTTTGGTACCGCATCTGGAGGTCGTCGCCATGAGCCGGGGCGGAGGCTTGCATAATCTTTCAGCTACGACCTTGAGAGACGAGATCGCGGCGCTCGTGCCGTCCGCGGCCCAGTGGGAGTCTGCTCGGAAGGCCCTTCGCTCTTGGCAAATGGAGACCGACGATAACAAGTGCAAGCTGCTGTTGGTGCTCCGCAATCACAAGGAGCGGGTGTACGCCGCGGACATCCGCAGGGCGCAGGCGAAGGTCGTCGAGGTTCAGGAAGATTATCTCCTCCGCAAGGTGTGGCTCGTGAAGAAATCCATGAACCCTGAGGTCGGAACGAAGGTTCCGCTGAAATGGCAGATCGACCCGCAGTCGGTCGAGAGGTTTCCTGCAGGAGTTGCCAGAGACGAGGTATGGGTCATCGATTCTGGATACCCCCGTCACGAGCTCGGACCTGGCGTGCTGGAGTTCCACATGAAGATCGGCCAGAGGGAGGAGTGGGAACCCACCCCCGCGGCGGCCTTGGAGGACGGGCCCGCGCCAGACCCGCCTGCGGCCAGAGTGCCGCGCCCCTCGGCCGGCGCGGCCCCGGGCCCTTCCGGCGGCGCGGGCGTCGCCTCGACTGCGGCTGCCCCTGGCCCCGCGCTCAAAAAGAAAGTGCTTCGGGACCGCACGTCGGACCCGAAAGATAAGCTCTCGCTGGAGGAAATCGCTCAGTCCGCGAAGGCGGAGGCAGACAAGGGCCGGTTCACGTCGGACAACAAAGCGTCCAATGAGAACTTATTGTTTTGGTGCGGCGAGTTCTTGGTGTGCCTGAGGGAGTCAAAGGTGGCGGACCCAATTCCGACGAGCATCCCAAAGCACTTGAAGTTTTTCATCGATTTCGTCGTGGAGGATTGCCTCCTGGACACGAACAGCTACCCGCACCTCCATGCTTTCGCGCCTTTCTTGAAGGACTGCGAGGCGGTGTACTCCGATGCGCTGTCGGCGTACGGGAAGGGCGTCCTCGCGGTCGCCACGGTGCCGCTCGGGGGCAACGCGGGGGTGCAGGTGCCGGGGCTGCTCGGGAGGAAGTCGCATCGCTTCCACACGTCGCCCTTCATGATGGGATTCCAGAAGGCGAATAACGAGAAAATGTACAGCGACCTGGAGAGTGCACACCAGATGACCGACGCTGAGAGAGTAGCCAAGATCTCTTCGCTGTTGACTTCTGCGGGCGCCGATACGAAGTCCGCCAGTGCCTTGGATGAGAGCAAGAGCACGGCCCTGCAGGTGATGGCGACCTTGCTTGGGCAGGCGCCCGATGCCACGAAATTTACGTACCTCATCGACGATCTCTCGCGCTACGACGCGCTGCAGGCCTGGTCCCCGGCGCACGCGCTGTTCGACCTGAAGCAGTTCGCGTTGGTGCAGCCCCGCTGGAAGGACATGCAGGTGGGCAAGATTGTGGCCGGCATCAAGACGCTGTCGAAGAACGAGGATGTCCTCGCCAAGATCCCCTCGCCGGTGATGCGGGGCATCGCTGGTGACTATCGGAAGCTGGCGGCGTTTGCCTCCGAGCAAGAGGATCAGGGGGCCTGGCAAGCGGTTGCGGAGGATCTCCTGCGCGAGATCCTGGAGTCGAAGCTCGGCCTGAAGCCCGAGTCCGGTGGGCGCGACCCGCAGTGGCCCGCTCTCTTTGGGGCGGCCCCGGCCGCTGCCCTGAAGGCCCTCTACAAGATCGTCGGGATTGCATCGAAAAAATTCCAGGAGAGGGGGGGCACCTGCTTGGGCGCGCTGCGGGCGTCGCACAGCAAGGTCGTGGAGGAGGCCTCTGCGCAGGCAAAGGCAGCCGGGGTCGGCGCGCAGACGGGTGCCGAGGGCAAGCCGGGCGCGGGGGGCGTCGCGGCCCCGCCGGCGCCGGAGCAGCTCCCGGGGGCGCCTGAGCCGAGCGCCGGCGCGGTCGGCGAGCCCGGCGATGCCGGCGCCGCCGCCGCGGGCCCGCCGGGCGCGGCGCAGGCGAGCGCCGCCGCCGCGTCCCCGCCGAGCGCCGGGGCGGCGGCGGGCCAGGAGGGCGCGCAGCCCGCGTTTGAGGCAGATGAGATCGTGATGATCACCATGCGCAAGAAGGAGTGGGACGGCATGAAGTGCAAAGTGATTCGGTGCAATGCGAGCCAGGTGGTGTGCGAGGTCTTGGAGGGGACGACGAAGGTGGAGAAGGGCACGAAGCGTTCTTTCTCGATCGTCAACGTCAAGAAAACGACGGCGGCTCCGGAGTCGGAGCTTGCAAAGCGTCTGAAAACCGGCGGGGCGCCCGCGTCGGAGGACGAGAAGAACGCGCAGACGCAGGCCAACATGGAGAAGATCTTCGGGAAGAAGAAAGGTGACGACGAGGACTGACGCGCGAGCGCGCCTGGGCTCTGAATGCTGGATCCCGTGCGCCACGTGAGTCGTCATATTTTGTAACGTTTGACGCCGTGGCCCGCGAGCGTGCCAGCGGGCCGATTCCTCGCCCTCGGACGCGCGTCTGCGCCAGCCGGCCGATTCCCCGCCCTCGGACGCTGCCGGCCAGCCGATTCCTCGCCCTCGGACGCCCACGGGCCGTGCGTCTTGCGTTGGACCTCCGCGAAAGGAAATGCCACGCTCATCCTCGCTCCTCTCTCGTTGCGCGGCCCCGCGGGGAGCTCCGCCGACCGCCCCAAGTGCGCGGCGTTGCGGACCGAGGAGCAGGTGTCTAGGTCGAGGATCGGGTGTCGAGGATCGAGGATCGGCGAACGAGGATCAGGGGTCGAGGATCGGGGGTCGGGGATCGAGGATTGAGAATCGGCGATCGACGATCGAGAATCAAGGATCGAGGTTCGATGATCGAGGATCGAGGATCGAAGGTCGAGGATCGAGGGTCGCCGATCGAGGATCGAGGATCGGGGATCAGGGATCGAGGATCGAGGATCGGCGATCGAGGATCAGGGATCGAGGATGGAGGATCGAGGATCGGGGGTCGAGGATCGATGATGGAGGGTCGGCGATCGACGATCAGGGACCGAGGATCGATGATCGGGGATCGAGGATCGACGATCGGGGATCCAGGATCGGAAATCGAGGATCGGGGATCGAGATTGAGGGTCGAGGATTGGCGATCTACGATCGAGGATCAGGGATCCAGGATCGAGGATCGGGGACCAGGGATCGAGAATCCAGGATCAGCGATCGACGACCGACTATCACGGATCGCGGATCGATGATCGAGGATCGAGGATCGGGGATCGAGGGTCGCGGATCGGCGAGCGACGATCGAGGACCAGGGGTCGAGGATCCAGGATCGAGGATCGGAGGTCGGGCATCGAGGATCGAGGATCGAGGATCTAGGGGGCGCAGCTGGGGGGCAGGAGGAAAGGGGTCCTTTTGTGGAGCCCCATTTAGGCACTGAGTTAAAGGCTTTCGTATTGTGGGGGCGTCTGGCCTGTCCATGGGGCTCTCGATGGCCACTTGGGGTTCTGGCGATGCTGCGGGCGAGCGGTTAAAGCCCCCCCCCCCGCGGCGGGCGGAGTTCAGGGCGCCCGACCGACGGCGGCGCTATCCGGCGCTATTCGGCTCTATTCGGCGGAGGCAGGGGGTAAAGGAACCTCCCAGGAGGAGGCACGTAACATTCATGCGCCGCTCGAAGCCGGAACACTACACCTCCGTCTTCAAGACACTAGACACTTCGTAAAACCAACTGCCTGCACTTGTTGCGAACATGTTGCCCCTTGCGTGTGTACGAGGGACGTCGTCGCCGAGCGTGCACTTCCCGGGAAACACTTCCCCCTCTCAATGTGATTCTGTTCTGTCCCCCAATTTACACAAGTGCGCCGTTCTCTGTGCCAACCTCGGAGGGCACCAACTATACACCAGCACCGATCCTGGGCCCAGGATCACCCTGGGCCCAGGATCGGTGTATATGCCTTCTTGCGCAGGGCAGGAGGGCGTATACACCGATCCTGGGCCCAGGGTGATCCTGGCCAGGATCGGTGTTGGTGTATAGTTGGTGCCCTCCTAACAATTTACACAAGCGCGCCGTTCTCTGTGCCAACCGTGCTCGTGTATTCTCGGTTTCTTCCTGCAGAACAGCATCCGTTCACCTGGACAAGACGATGGGGAGCGCGCGCGGGCGCCCAGTGCGAGGAGGAGGGAGGAGGAGGAGGCTGGAGGAGAGGCTCGAGGAGAGGAGGAGGAGGAGGAGGAGAGGAGGAGGAGGAGGAGGAGGAAAGATGGAGGAGGAGAGATGAAGGAGGAGGAGGAGGAGGAGGAGGAGGCAAGGGGGAGGAAGGAGCGTCGGGAGAAAGCCATGGGGCGGAGGCGGAGCACCAGCTCCCAGCCGCGCCGAGGCCTCACCGCCCGCAGGGCCCGGGCCCACGCCTTCCTGGGGCGGGAGGGCGCTCCGGCCACGCCGCCGGTGGCGCGGCGGCTGCTCGCGGGCGCGGGGCGGCCGCAGACGGACTGAGCGGGGCGGCCGCAGACGGACTGAGCGGGCGCAGGTCGGGCGGGTGCTCACGGGGGGCCGGACGAAAGGGGTGATAGGGAATGGGGGGGGTACGAAATGGGAGGCTGGTGCTCACGGGGGCGGGTGCTCATGGGGGGCGGGTGTTCATGGGTGCGGGTGCTCATGGGATAGGTCGGGCGGGTGCTCATGGGATAGGTCGGGCAGGTACTCATGGGGGGCGGGTGCTCATGGGGGGCCGGACGAGAGGGGGGGATAGGGCAAGGGGGGCTTACGAAATTTGCTGCGTGCAGCTGGTTTCAGCCTCACCGAGGGGCCCACGCCTCGATATACATATGGCTCCCTCCGGCGCCGGGAGGCGCCGGGGAAGTCAGCTACGTGAGCTTATTCTCAGACCCCCCCTTTGCTATCCCCCTCTTTCGCCCGACCCGACTTGAGCGGGCGCAGGTCGGGCGGGTGCTCATGGGGGCTGGGGGGTGAAGAAAAGTCATGGCGGCAGCATCGCAGAGCCGATTTCGCTCGGAGAACAGTCAGATGGGAACGGAGTGTCCTCGAGAATGTCGGTCTGGATTTCGCAGTGACTGTCGTGCGGATTTTTTTGGGCCAGGAATGGAGACTCAAAATAATCTGCGCGAAATTCACTCCGTTTTTGACTCGCCGTTTCGGGGTTTTGCATTGACAGATATCCACGCGAAAATCCGCTGCAGCACGTCTGCAGGGTCGGTGCAGTGAGGAGAGGGCCCTTTTAGCGCCCTGTTCTTCATCCCCGATTTATGTCACCCCCCCATTGCCACCCGCCTGAAGCTGGTGGAGGGGCGGGGCGCGAGGGAGGCAGCGCGGAAGGGAACCAGGAGGGGAAGACCGAAGACGAGCTACCCCCCGTGCAGAAAGCAACTGGTGTTTTTTCTACACACCTCCCCCCCCCACCCCCCCAATTTCAATGCTCAATGCGGTGCCGATTTGTTTCTCGAACTTCGCCGGTCGCGCGATCAACATTGAAATGGGGGGCCGGGGGGCTCACCAAACACCAGTTGCTTTTCGCACGGAGATGTAGTATCGTTTAGCCGGCCCCTATCCCCCCTTTCCATCTGGGGGATCCACCCCATGGCTAGACCTGAACGCTGTTTTGCTGGACTTCGGCTGTGCTTTGCTTTTCGTTTTGGCAGTTGGCAGGGAGGCACAGGAAACCAGACAGGGAGCAGAACGAACAACATAACGACAACAAGACGCCCACACACACACACACACACACACACACACACACACACACACACACACACACACACACACACACACACACACACACACACACACACACACACACAACGTTTAGGTCCAGCCCTGATCCACCCCTCGAAACCCGGAGGGAGCAGGCTGCATCCCCATCCAGGGGAGGACATCGGCCAGGGGAGGCCACGCCACGGGGGGCACAGGCAGGGTCCCGAAGCACAAGACGAGCCTCCGCGAGAAAGTTCGAGGTCAAGAGCAGCTCGGACCAAAGGTCGGTGAAGCGGTGCTCCACGGGGGCGGCGGAGCACCCGCGGCGGCGAGGACGGGCTGCGGCGCCGCGGGGCGGCGTCGCGGAGCCAGCGGCAGAGGAAAGCGGGGCGACTGGTGCTGATAGTGGTGGAGGTGATGGTGGTGGTGGTGGTAGTGGTGGTGTTGTCGAGCAGTGGCGATGTCGAGCAGTGACGACGGTGGTGGTGATGGTGATGATGGTAGTGTCGAGGTGGTGGTGATGTCGAGCAGAGGCGATGGTGGTGTCGAGGGGGTGGTGATGATGTTGGTGGTGATGCGCACATTGGAAGGGACCTCTCGAGCTTTCGTCAGGCCTGCGCAGTGTCCATAAGAGCAAGAACGCAGCTGAGCACAGGAGGGCGTGCAGGCAGCTACGGAGCTCGGACATGCAGACGCAAGGTGCGGACGACGATGCAAAGCCCTAGGAGACCAGAGCAGTGACAACGCGAGCACCAGATCTGCAAGTGGCCAGTGTTGGCGGTGGTGGTGGTGGTGGCGGTGGTGGTGTCGAGCAGTGCAAGAACTGGTCTTAGGACGTTTCTGGCTGGGTCTGCCTTATTTTGACACATCGGGTTGATGTTCAAAGAACATTGTTTTTGTTCTTCGAACAGTTTTGTGTTCTGCGAACAGATCGTGGTAGGCAGATAGGATTGCCGGGACGGTTGGTCCCTGCTCACTGATGATGATAATCTAGACGTTTCGCGTCACCTCACCAGCCCGTCTAGAACCGATATCTAGGGGGGTTGCCTTGATCAGGGGTGTGGAGGAGCATGCAGTGGAATAGTTGTTGGTCTAGAAAAGCCGTCGTATTCCAAGACGGGGAGGAAGGACGATACATCGGAGGAGGAGTAGGAGGCGGAAGAGGAGGGGGAGGGCGAGGGGGGGTGAGGGGGATGAGGAGGGAGGAGGAGGAATAGTTGGATGAGGAAGAGGAGGAGGGCGACCAGAAAACCAGAGGCTTCTTGCATGCCTCTCGACGTCTCTTCGGATGCCTCTTGAGAGTTTCTTGGGGTTCTCTTGGGGCGTCTTGGCTGCTTGTTGGCGGTCCTGGTGGCTTCTTGGGCCCTCTTGGGTGACTCGGGGGGGTCTCTTGGAGGTCTCTTGGGAGCCTCTTCGGGACCTCTGGGGGGCCTCTGGGGGGCCTCTGGGGGGCCTCCTTGGCGTCTCTTGGGGCCCTCTCGAGACACTCTTGGGAGCCTTGGGGGCCATCTTGGAGGAGTCCGAGCAAAGAAGGGGGGGTGCTCAATTAGCCCCCCCGATGAGGCCAAAAGTGCCCAAATTGATTTTTGTTTGTTGGCCTTCTAGCCGACGCCGTCTTGGACGCGCCAATGGGTCGAGACCCCCCCACCCAGGTCCAAGGGAGGGGGGTCGAGGGAGGGGTCAAGTTTCCAGCGGGAGTGCCGCAAGCTGTCTCGTTCACTTCCACCCGCCCTCCCACACCAAAAGTAACGCCCGAATCTCAGCACAGGCAGTGGCCGCCATCGACAGCCGTCGAGAACCAATGCAGACGCCAGCCAGGTGCGCGAGGCCCGCGAGGTGCGCCGCACGTGACAGGTGGCCTACGCGCACCAGGTGCGCCACGTCGGGCAATATGTCGACCCCCTCCTCCTCCTCCTCCTCCTCCTCCTCCTCCTCCTCCTCCTCCTCCTCCTCCTCTTCCTCTTCCTCTTCCTCCTCCTCCTCGTCCTCCTCCTCGCTCCTCCACCTCGACCCCCTGTCAGAAACTTCTGCGCAGTGACGGAGGGTTTGCCGGCATCGTGCAGTGTGCTTGCGCTGGCAATCGCTGTGCATTTGCGTCTGGCAGGGACGGTAGGCCTGCGCACAGCAGGCAACATGCCGGTCCCTCTGCCGTCCGCGTTAAATTCTAATGCAGTGTGATCGCCGGGCGCCCGCGCATGATCCCGAGTTTGGTACAAGGTGTACCGTCGCCGTCGGGCGGGTGCGAGGGGTTGCTAAGGGGAAAAACACATTCAGACACAATGAATCGTCGACTCCCCAGAAACTGGTGGGAAAATATGGGAAGTGGGGGGGGACGAAAACCTCGAAAATATGAGGCAATATTGGGAATCCTGTTATTTGTGTGTATTTATTTGTGTGTCCCAGGGCCCCTTCAGTTGTACGGGGTGGTTTGTCGCAGGTCCGGCGGGGGAGGGGGTGTTCAGTGATGCAGCCTTCCCCGGAAGGGGAAGCAAGGTTGGTGGGAAGAAGGAGCTCTCTAGACCACTCACCGCCAGAGGGTTGGTGGGATTAGTGGTGATGGCGATGGTGATGGTGGCGATGGTGGTGGTGGTTGGTGGTGGTGATGATGATGCTGGTGATGGTGGCGGTTGTGGTGATGGTGATGTCCTGCGCTTATTGTGGGCAAGTCTCGGCCCATGGGCCTGCACCACCAATGACGGTTGATTGACCAATGCGGGGGCACAGGCCAGCCTGAATTCTGCACCAGAGGTGTACACATTCATTACGCCTTGGCGGGGAGGCCCGGCAGCAGGCGGGCGTTATCCTCATAGCTGGTAGAGCTGGGCGGAACGAAGACGGCCAGCCGAGCTCAGCGCTAAAAACGAAACGGTCTTGCACGGCCTCCTCTACGAGCTCGCCCTCACCCCCCCATCGTCTTCCAGTCGGGACGGGGAGGAGGAGGATTAGGTGGAGGAAGCAAGAGAGAGGCGGAGGGGAAGACATGCGAGAAAATGAGGCCTCGAGTGGCCCCGCGGACCGATGGGGAGTGGAGTCGGGAAAGGCCTGGCTTCTTCAGAAGCCGCACGATCGCATCATTCATGCGAATGGCCAGTTGAATACGCTCCCTAGCTTTTTAAATTGCTGACGGTGGGATGGGGTGGAGCGCAGCAGCGCAGCATACTCGCATCTCTGACCTCTGAGATGCCCTGCCTCATGGTGGTCCAGCCACTTTCGCCTGAGACATCCTCGCAACTCTGGGTTCCGAGATACCCTGAGCTCAGGTGGTCAGGTCACTTTGGCCTGAGACATCCTCGCAACTCTGACCTGGGAGATGCCCTGCCCCATGATGGGCCGGCGACTTTCGCGTGAGACATCCTGACCCTTCCCCATGGTGGTCCGGCCTTCTTTGCCTGAGACATCCTCGCTGCTCTGGGTTCCGAGATTCCCTGAGCTGAAGTGGTCAGGCCACTTTCGCCTGAGACATCCCTGCAACTCTAGGTTTCGAGCTTCCCTGAGTTCAGGTGGTCAGGCCACCTTCGGTTGAGACATCCTCGCAGCACTGACTTCGGAGAAGCTCTGCTTCATGGTGGTCCAGCCGCTTTGGCATGAGACATCCTCGCCACTGTGTTCCGAGATGCCCCGAGCTCAGGTGGTCCGACCACTTTGGCCTGAGACATCGTCGGAACTCTGATCTCGAAGACGCCTTGCCCTATGATGGTCTGGCTTTTTTTGCCTGAGACATCCTGGCAATTATGGGTTCCGAGATGCCCTGAGCTCAAATGGTCAGGCCACTTCGGCCTGGGACATCCTCGCAACTCTGACCTCGGAGATGCCCTGCCCCATGGTGGTCCGGCCTTC